TTCTTCGTTATATGGTGTATCCGAGTGTCTGTCGGAATTATCCAAGAACGAACAAACTCCGTTTTATCTGAGCAGATAACGAATACCACTTATAGCTAAGACCACATATCTGGAAATTCATTTATTCTATTTACCGAATTTGAATCCCTCCAGAAAGGTTGTCATAAGTGGTACAAAGTTCTCTTGACTTAACGGAGTTATCCTCAAAGTGCCGGTTCCACAATCGCGGCATATAAAGAAACAATGGACCACTTTACAATTCAATGTTATAGAATCAAATGTACATTTTCTATACCGAAATTTTAGAACATTATAGTTTATTGTAGGACATAGAGCGTACTTGCGCGCCGACCAGCACTTTGTGAGGTCGCACTAGGCGACTTGTTTTAAATTTTACAAGCGATATTAGGGTACTATAAATACGCAATCATGCGCAATTAAACAAAAAGAGAAACAATAACAATGGGCATTCGTATACATATTAGGTTTTTTGAGTTATGCGCCTGTGTGACGAAAGTTGAAAAAAAACAAAGCTTCGATTCATAACGAAATATTCAATATTTGGGTGAGTCAATAAAAACCATGCAATTTCTTTTAGCAAATTTTTTTAAAAATTTGAAGTCAAAATAGCTTAACAAAAACTTAAATAAAATTTGATAAAAAATTTTTATTATAAGAAATTTGCTTGATTTTTATTGACTCACCCCATTTGTTTTCTATAATGTTAATTTTATCGTCTTGGGTCTTGGCTAGAAAACCGAAAATCATAAACCCGTTTATTCTTGAGCATCCTTTGTTTGCCTCACTAAAGCGAACATTTAATTGTTCATCTACAAGAAGTGGGTTTGTTCTAAATAGAGAAGAATTTCAAATCGTAGCCCAAAGGAAATTGATACTAATTTCTTTAGATTGGACTCGCCCAAAAGATCCTCCTTTATCCCTTGGTCATGCATCTATATTAGCTAATTTAAGACATCATAATATTGATACTTTTCCTCGCTCGTGGTCGGTAAATGTACCCACTTTTTCACCCGATGACGTGGTAGAATTTATCATGATGCATGCTAATCCTCATAATGATGTTGCATTAGGT